CAGTACTGAACGGTCACGTGGTGGTTTGCCTCTTTGCTGATCCCGATTCACCGCTCATTGGTTTAAGAAACTTGGTTATGCCTTTGAGAGCCAGCAACTTCCATTACCACGAACTCAAACATGTTGTCATAGTTGGCTCTGTGGACTATATTAGAAGAGAATGGAAAATGTTGCAGAATTTACCGAAGATTTCTGTTCTAAATGTATATAAATCTATATTTTTTTCTTAAAAAGCATATGAAAAAACATATTTTTATTATTTTTATTAGGGTTCTCCACTAAGTAGGGCTGATTTGCGTGCAGTAAACGTCAATCTCTGCGACATGTGCTGTATTCTGTCAGCAAAAGTGCCCAGTAACGATGATCCGACGCTGGCCGACAAGGAAGCCATTTTGGCGTCGCTTAACATCAAGGCCATGACCTTCGATGACACTATCGGTGTCTTGAGTCAAACCAATGAGGACAACGAGAACGGGACTCCCGTAGGTAGTCCCATTATACTACAAAGAAGGGGGTCCGTTTATGGAGCCAACGTTCCTATGATTACTGGTAAGCATTTAAAAAATTAAAAAAATAAATAATAAAAAATATGAACCTTTCTACGGGAGGTGTAAGATATACTTCTTAAATTTACTTAATTGTTACACTATAAATACACATTTATTTTTGTCTCTTGCTAATATTTTGGCTTCAGATATTGTTAGTCCTCTAAGTAGTATCTTCTCCATTATATCATTGCATGTTTTGTCGGTCTTCCCGTTGGTCTCTTCCCCTGTATTTTAGCTTCCTATACCCCCTTGTTCATTCTAAAATTGTCCATACCACTGAAGCTTAGGTTGCTCAATTCTATACAGAATCGAATCTACTATCAGTTTCTCTCTTATAAAGCTGTTTCTTATTCAATCTATTCTTGTTACTCCAAGTACTCTTCTTAGATATAACATCCCCATTCTTTGAATCTTACTCTTCAATATTTTAATTAATACCCAACTTTCACAACCAAAAATTAACGTGGGTATCTCATCTTCATTTTTCTAGGAAAAAATATCTTAACTAGATTTAATTAGATTTTTTGTGATGACTATTGGGCTATTCCACTGGTCTTTTGCGGCCATTTTGCAAGGGCTCTGGTCTACTGAGTTGCAGCAATGAGCCTTGTTTGATCTTTTTATCTACCTTTTCATTACCCTTGTAACCCTCGTACCTCATAGCGTAACTTTGCTATATTCTACTAATGTATTCAGAGTACAAAGTCTAGTCTGTCCTTTATGGAATCAAGTACCTTTAGCGCAGCTTGGTTATCAACCCAAGTAGCATTTTCACGACTTGCGACCACATGTTTACTAAACACAATGTTGGATTAGTTACAAAAAATATTTAGCTCCCTACCTTGGGTATTAAAATAAATTTAAACGTTTTTATAACGTTGTGCCGACGTTGGACTAGTACTTCAGCAAAGTAGGAAGCTCCTGCGACGTCGAATAAACGTTGTCTTGTAACATTTTTTGCTTAAGTGATCTTTAAATTTTTTTTTTTTTTGAATCCGTTTGCCTAATACGTAAACATGTATCAGCTTCTCAAGAGAGGCCATCTCACACTTATCCACTCAGGAACGCGGAGCAAGATCTTTATCTACCTACCCCACGCTCAGAGTTAGTTAAAAGTTCAATATTATACAACTCGAAAAAAATGCACAATCACCTGCCATTTGAAATCAAATCCATAACATCATTTTTTTCATTTCGCAAAGCATTGAACTCTTATTTACTAGACAAGGCTTTCTACGCCGTAAATGAATTCTATTTGAATTGAAAATCGAATTTGATCTTGAAAACACTGGTCTAATGTTTGCTATTGCTATATTTACTAATGACATCGAAATTAATTTATTTAGAGGTCATTGATATTTTGCTATAAACTGGCTAAATATTTTTGAATATTATTTTAATTTTTTTTGTTCTTTGACATTTTTTTTTGTAAACATTTATAAATATTTATTTAAACAATAAGACTGACAATATTATTTGTATAATGTTTTGTATTATCTTTTGTTTGTTTGTTTGTGTACCTTGTTTTTGTTTACTTTGTTTGTTAGTTTACCTTTGTCTACAAATTGAAAAATGTTTTCACAATAAAGGCATTTATTTTTTATTTATTTATTTATTTATTTTAGGTGATTCGGACAACGTAGTTACAACGTTGGATAATATAGAGTTTTCCGACGTCAGTTTCAGGACCTATTCCAACGTTATGCAAACGTCGTCTGTTTTACTTATTCCAACGTTGTTTAGATTTCCTTATTCTTACGTTGGTAGGACGTCGAGGCACTACCTTTTTGCAACTGTATTGAACCATAACCTTAAATCTTAAATTTTCACTTCATTGTTCTGTTCAGTCAGACAGTTCAGTGCTGTTTTTGTTTTTATAAAAAAAACTTATTTAAAATGGGACATAAGAAAGGTACATATAAAACTAAATTTAAATATACATCGGCATATATTACCGATAGTTTATCCACTCCCTCGTTTATTTAGATTATAGAGGGCGGCACAAGCTAGACTCTAGGATGACTAAATTAGGCAATCTTGCGACTAGTATACTACCTGTTAAGGCTGAACTGCGACTTTATTAGTCCAGTATGCGACTACTCGAACTACTCCATCTTAATCTCCAAAACAACAAAGTGAAAGCCGCCATGTTGTTAAATAAGAAAATGTTTCGTTCCTAAAATAGCAATTCCTGCTTTTTGAATACATTAACTTGAAATATTTGACCCTAAAAATCACGCGGAAACAATTTTTTCGACTGCGAATAAATTATTCTCATTTTACTGAAAAAAAACTTCAAGAAAATTTTTAGAACTTCTTTAATTTTAAGGCCCATTAGTATTTTTCAAAATAGAAACAATACATTTATCAATAAAGTTGTTTGCGTTTAACTTTTTTGCCTTGGGTAACGAGTTACAGAGTCGGTTAAAGTGTTTCAATAATTATGATCTTCAAACATCCTCCACACTTAAATACTTTTGTTTTGTTTTCCTTCACTGCCACCTGACATATGTCTCTAACTAAATCATAAAAATAATATTTTTACAATAATTATCCCAATTTAGGATATATAACGCGACTTAGACGCCATATTAGTTTTGTATTTCTGTGAATTAGGATTTTAAACAACATTGCAGTTTGTACTAAATTAAGCTTCTAGCCAACGTCGGTATCCAACGTCGTTTCGACCCAAAAATTATTCTCCAAACTAGTGCAGACTAGGGTTGGCACGAGGTTGTGCCGACGTTGCGCCCCGACGTTTGGTCGCGTGACACAACGTTGTCCCGACGTCCAAATGCTGCTTGGGAATGACAACTGAACGGTTTGTTTTCTCCTGCTTTGTTATTTCTTCCAGGCTATAATGGATTCCTTTTCTTAAGCCTAAAAAATTGTGATATCCATGGATAGGCCTACTGGGAAAGCTACCCTTTGTTTCAACCCTTCTATTCTAGCTAAAATATTCTAACATTCTTGGCCGATCTGTATACCAGGTTTCATCAGCTTATATGGGTACACTGTTTTTTTTTCAGTCTTACATCTCTATTTTAAAGTTGTTACCTATTAAAGCTATCACTTCCTTGTATCTGTCGCGTCTATGGGTACCTAAGGAAAAAAATAAGTTAAAATTACCTAAAAATATGCACAGAATTGTGAGATTTAATTTTATCTATTATTTCAGAATTGGTCAACGACAGTAACGTTCAATTTTTGGATCAAGATGACGATGATGATCCAGATACGGAATTGTACCTAACCCAGCCGTTTGCTTGTGGTACCGCTTTCGCTGTTAGTGTATTAGACTCGCTAATGTCTACGGTAAGTACTTCCTTTTATTTTATTTATAAAATGCGTTCAGAGTAGAACCACTTTGGCTGAAAGAGCTAAAGTTAATTTTTGTTTGTTTTTGTAATTAAAGTTTTTTGACAATAAGAAAATAGTAATATCACTGAGGACAATGTATCCAAAACATTTTTGACAGTACATCCGGTTATACCACGACTAGATATTAACTGGAGTTTCTATACAGAGTGTATTTGAAATAAGTGGAAATATTTTCAGGTCTGATAGATTTCGATAAAAGAAACATATTTTCTCCTCGCCGTTTTTCAAATAAGTCCAAAATAACCGAGTTATTTTACTTAGAAAATAAAAAAAATATATATTTTATTTTAAGTTTTCGGAACCACTGGATTTTTTCTGGAGGTTGCCATATTCCTCTCAAGATATTGTCTTTTTTGACTAAAAATTAAATAAAAGTTATAACATTTTTCGAAAAATACAAAATTAGAAAAAGGCCGAAAATTAAACCATAGACGTGTTTCTGGGGAGTCGAAGTATACCGCCCCTAAAAATATTTGCACTTAAGACTGACTCTGTATAACTATAGTTATATAGAATTTATTTAGAATATAGTTATTAAGAATATATTTTAGACACTGACACTGGAGGCCACCTATATATTTTTTAAATGGTTTGAGTTTTTTACGTAGCTATTTTTACCAAGAGGCCTTTTTTATGTAAAAAACTTCGTAAATGTATATTTTTGTACTCGGTAGTTTTATACAGGTACGGACGAAAAGTTATTGCTCTTCAAATCATTTAAAAAATATGTAGGTGGGTCCCTCTATAAGTAGTAGTCATTATTGACATTAAAATAAAATTTCTCATGTCAAAAAAACTCCCAGATACCTATTTTCATCCAAATATTGGCGGTACTTCAGAAATTATTTGAAAAAAATCGAAATAAAAATGAAACTTCTACACCCTGTATCTCCGAAACTAAGTATTTTAGGACATACATTTATATGATTTTTTTACTTATTTTTATCTGCAGAATATGCTGCCAAAGTTTCCATAATACAGTTCGGACCACCCTGTACACCCTGTAATTGGATGCTCATTATCCAATTAAAAATTAAAAATAATTTCTTTCTTTCTCAAATTCTATTTTAGACATACTTCAACCAAAACGCCTTGACATTAATACGATCCTTGATCACTGGGGGTGCTACACCAGAATTAGAACTGATTTTAGCAGAAGGTGCTGGTTTAAGAGGAGGATACAGGTAACTCGCATTTCTACGACCCTTGTAACAAGCAAACCCTATTTTTTTCCTTTATAGTACTCCGGAAAGTTTATCAAACAGAGATCGATGCAGAGTAGGTCAAATTTCCCTCTATGACGGTCCCCTGGCTCAGTTTGGCGAGACGGGGAAGTACGGCGATCTTTTCGTAGCAGCCCTGAAGCAGTTCGGAATGTTATGCATTGGATTGTACCGATTTAGGGATACGAGTTCATCCTGTGACGCGAGTAGCAAGAGATACGTCATCACCAACCCACCAGACGATTTTCAGTTGTTGCCTACCGATCAAGTAAAATCGATATGTTTTTATTCAGGTGGCCATGGAATCGATTTTTAATAATAACATGTATATTTCTACTACTGAGCACTATATTATGAGTCTATTACGCTGTACTTTCGGGTCGCTCTCAGGGGTCGGGTGAAGTGGGTGTGTAGCCGAAGGAAATATATATTATATTTCAGAAATCCGCTTAAGGCTTGGCCCGATCCTGTCGCGTTAACCCTAGCCTTACCGAAAGTGGGTCATCGATGACCCGAAACATAGAATTCCACAAATAATTTTCGCCCCCGTGCTTTTTTTTCAGTGTTCCTCCATGAATTCTCCTAACATATCATAAGCATATTGTTTTTAGTACGAATTTAAAAAAAAATACATTTCTCCGAAATCTGCCTCTGGGTCACGGACGACCCGGTTTTGTGAATAACCGTTATAGGCTAAAACTCCCCAAATCGACAAGTCATAGCATGGTTAGCATTTAGTCGTAATTTATTTATTCGTCATTCAGTTTACTATCTAACGCTGCTTCGTGAAGATCATTATTTTTTTTTTCAATAGAAAACAGTAAAGTGCGATGTGGTCTAAAAATAAGGGTTTGTCCGACAAGGAGCTCTACGATATTCTGATGCAGTCTTCAGATGACGAGTGCGATAAAGAATTACCTTTAGAGCAGGCATTTAGTGATTTCTCGAGTGATGAGGACCTCTCGGATGGTGAAGCTGAGATACACGAAGGAAGCCATTCATTTCATGAGTTAGAAGAGGAAGAAGTGCAGTTACCTGACCAATTGAAAGGCGAAACTTTGCGCAATAGGCAGTCCTATGATGTAGATAATCGTACATGGTATACTGTAGCGCCTAAAACAGGAAAATCCAGATCATGCAATATCTTGCAAGAAGATAAAGGTCTCACAAATAGAAGTAAGGATGTGAATTCTATTACTGACTGCTTCAAGCTTTCCTTTTCTGAAAATATGTTCGATATTATCATAAAATATACAAACAAAAAAGCTAACGATTTTATAAAGACTTATAATGAATGTCATGAAGACAAGTTGGAGACATGGATTGAAGTAGACACTACAGAAATGCTTGCCTTTCTTGGAGTCCTTATTCTTGCTGGTATATTCCGTGAAGCAAAAGAAAGTGTACGCAATTTATGGTCGACTACAAACAATGCTTTTACCAGGCCAATTTATCAGGCCACTATGTCCAGAAATCGATTTTCTGACATCTTACGCCACCTTCGTTTTGATGATTTGTCTACAAGAGCCGAGAGAAAGGAACAAGATAAGCTTGCTCCGATTCGTGAGATAACTGACATATTTGCTAAGAATTGCAGAGAATCTTACAAACCTTCAGCTTTTGGGACTATTGATGAGCAGTTGGTAACTTTCCCAGGTCGTTGCTTATTCAAAGTTTATATACCAAGTAAACCAGGCAAATATGGTATAAAGGTGTGGGCCCTTTGTGATGCTGACAACTGCTATTGTTGCAATTTTGAAGTGTATTTAGGAAAATTGAATGGCATAGCAGAAAAGAATCAAGGTCCTCGAGTTGTAAAAACTTTAGCAAACCACTGGTATGGTAGTGGACGAAATATAACAACTGATAATTTTTTCACCGACATAACCTTAGCAGAAGAACTCTTGTCCCAGAATCTAACAATTGTGGGCACAATCCGCAAAACTCGCAAAGACTTGCCGAAGAGCTTATTAGATATTCGCGAAAGAGCTACGTATTCTTCACAGTTCCTTTTTACACGGAATCTTACCTTGGTGTCCTACGTTACGAAGCCCAATAAATTTGTTGTACTTCTATCTTCAATGCATCATGAACACGACATCGCCGGAGAAGATCTGAAATTCAAGCCTAGCATAATAACTTCTTATAATGAGACAAAAAGTGGCGTAGATTGCTTGGATAAAATTGTACGTGAATACAGTTCCAAAAGGATCAGTAGAAGATGGCCTTTACGTTTATTTTATAATTGGCTTGACATAGCGTCATATAATGCCTTCGTCATCTGGATTCTGAAAAATCCACAATGGAAGAGTTCTAATGGTAAATGGTAACCTAAAAGTCAGAAGGAAACTTTTTTTGGAAGAACTAGGTGATATGCTGACTCATAACAATATTGTACGACGCGCAGAAAAAATTCATGAGGATGGTAGAGGGTTTTTCGCAACTGTATGTCATGCTATTGAAAGTACAGGAGTTTCAATAAAAAAGAAGCTACCAACGCCCAACATAGGCGCCAAAAGGAGTCGATGCTTCCAGTGCCGTGGAAACGATAACAAATATTCCACAAAATGTGACAAGTGCCACAAATATGTTTGTCCCTTACACGCAGAAATCAAATTCAATTCAAAAAGCAGTAGTTTGTTCTTGTTGTTCAAAAGATGAAGATGGAGAATAAGAAAAGTGTAGTTATTGACTTATTAGCAAAATAAAAATAAATTAGTATTTAGCTTGATTTATGTCCTATGCAGTGATTTTATATTATATTTTTTTGTTGTTTATTTTTGTAATAAAAGTGAAGCAAATATAAAAAAATATTTTTTTATCATTCCCAAAGCATTCTATTAAAACACAAAAAATATGTCTGGGTCAATTTTGACCCTGTTTTGGAAAACAAAATTTTAAAAATATTTTGGTACGGCTAGGGTTAAGCCACACCCAAAATTTCAAACACACGTGCTTTGATTAAGGCTTGATTAAGGTTGCACAGCTTCAGCATTTGCCATATAATAGCGAGCAATTTGTTACAAAACCATATATCACTGTAATCACTAAACGTCAATCTATTTCCGTAGTGTAACGGAATTTTAAATTATGTCTTTATTTTCGAGAAAATTTAGTCCAAACATAACGAATACTTTGTTGATCTTTGACCATCGAAATCTTAAGAATAAATAACTTGTCTAAAAATGTGCAACAATACGGATATAGTATAATCCTTTATCGTTAATTTCCTTCTTCATTTGTGTAAAAATACCTAGCCCGTTTTATAACGCTTATTTTGCTACTTTTTGGGACTAGTGAACTGGACTCATGGTGAAAAACAATAATGAACAGAACTAGAGATGGACAAAACTGATATTTTTAAAAAAAAGTTGAGTTTGTTATTTAAAAATAACAGCTTATAGTAACAGGTTTTTGTTGTTGATCGATTTTATTAGATGTTAAACAGCACAAAAAAAAGAAACCGATAAAATATATAAAAATAACAGTTGTAGTATAACAGATCGATTACTACAATGTTACTACCCGTGTTTATTGCCAGCACATAGTCTTTTCACATAACCGTATTTTGTAGCCTTTAGGTACTTGTAAATAACAGTTGAAATATAACAGGTCGCTAAATTACAGTTGAGGGTTGGAACCTTTGGTGTTAAACAGCAAAATAAAAACACTAAATCACCACAATACACCAAAACACTTTTACTTTTACACTGGACGCGCGTTTCGCTAACCATGTTAGCATCATCAGCAGATGATTATAAACAAATTTTTTATATAATATATATGTTTATAATCATCTGCTAATGATGCTAACATGGTTAGCGAAAGTAAAAGTAAGTCCAGTGTAAAAGTAAAAGTGTTTTGGTGTATTGTGGTGATTTAGTGTTATTATTTCGCTAAATTACTATACATTTTTACGGCCAGCGCACTGTTATTTTCAAATTTGTTATTGCTGTTTTTTTTTTCAAAACACATATTTTTTAGAAGGAACAAGGTTATTTTCTACCAGTATCAACTGTTTTAAACTCTTATTTGTAAAAATAACTAGAGATGAGGAAGAAATCGCAAACTGCGATTCAATCGCGGTAATTTTAAAATTGCAATCGCAACCTGCGATTGGCTAATGGGAAACTGCGATTGCTATTTTTTCTATTTGCGTGTTTCAATTTAGGCAACCAGTATTACTATAGCTGCGATTTGCGACTTTGTTGCGGTTTTCGATTTTGTTGCGATTTGCGATTGTGAATTTTTAAACTGGGACCGTGATTTCTATCTGCGAGTTTGAATTTTTAGGAGTTGTGATTTGCGATATTGTTGCGAATGTAATTTTCTGGTTTATTGAAGCATTTTATAGTAAACTGTGATTGAATTTTCTCTCTGATATTATTTATTTATAGAGAAGGTATTATTTGTTTCTCAAGTGTGGTTCACCCCTATAACTTTTTTATTTTTTTCTGATAAAAAAACTGATTTGGTGTGTTAGTATATGACATAAATTAGGATTGACTGACGTATTCAATTGTTTTTAGTCACTTCCTGTTTCACCGGAAATGACTAATACTTTTGATTTTTAAATGACATCCTCGGTATATTTTTACTTTATTCGATAGAAAATGACACTCTGAATAGAATGGCATATCATATGGCAACTTTTGACATTTTCGCATAAAAAATCGCATTTTAAATTTCAATCTAGAATGTCGTGGCTGTGTTAAAAACACTAATTTTAATCAAGATGCCTTGGAAAAACAGATTTGATCGTCTGTTGTTTTTGACGTCTTGTCCAGGCCAGTTAAAATATCGTATTTCTAATATCTCAATTTTTTTCAAATGGAACGAGGGTGGCTCATTGGCATATTTAGAAAAAGGATTTTACGAATAATTTGGTTAGGTTAGGTTAAAATCGCAATCGCAGGTTACATTCGCTGCGATTTAAAAATGGCAATCGCAGTTTCAATTGCGATTGAAGAATCGCAGTTTTGCTCATCTCTAAAAATAACATTTGTAATTTTTACAAATTGTGTCCGTCTTCTCTACTATCAACTCACTGTTAGTTTTCGGATTTGTTATTGCTATTTTTTTTTGATAACTGTTATTTTTTAGAAGTATCAACTGTTGCAAATTGTTATTTATGAATAATAGGTGTAAAATGTAAGATAACACCCTTCTCTACTGTTAGCCCACTGTTATTTTCTTATTTGTTATTTTTTAGAAGTACCAGCTATTGCGAACTTTTATTTCTAAATAACAGTGGTAAAACGGCAACCCGTTAAATAACAACTGTTTTCTCTAAATAAAGGGTTAAGAGTTTTATCTTCTGAAATATCTTCACTAATAGAAAAGAATTAAAACTCTCAGGGAGTTGTTGGTTCTTAGTTTTAAACCTCATTTGATTAAAGTGAAAATGTAAATAAGTACAATTATTTATATGCGAAGATGCGTTTACTTATTCCCCTAATATGAGAATACTTTACAATTCCGTGGCCACCAATTTTATTTTCTTCTCTCTTTTTAAATCTTTTGCTACTACTTAACTATCATGCCCTAGGTGTTCGTGCTGATGCAGTTCGACCCCGGCCTGGAGTACAAGCAGGTGCGGGGCGGCAGACCCGGAACAGGCCAAGGGGGCGGCACGGGGGGCGGTGGCACCAACAAAGACGAGAATTCTTGATTGTTGCTGTGTAGCGCCCTCACAGATGGACCCTACTCCTACATTTAAGTGCGGGAGGTGTCCACTATCGATATTACCCACCATTCCAGTTTAATTTTAAGTGTATCCTATATATAGTTTACTATAAAGACAATCCTTGGTTTCGTTAAAGTCGTTTTAGTTTAGTAAAATGAACCGATTAGTGATGATGGGAAAAGGTATGCAACTTATAGTAATACATTGAGTCCTAGGACAAATGTTTAGATTTCAATGTGATACTAGTAGTAGGTACAGTCAATCTGGCACCCTTTAACTCCCATCAAATTACCCCCGCTCTCATACTTTGCCAGTCGTAAGTGGTCCACTGGAAAAGCTTAAATTCGAAATATCGTATCCCCTCACCCCACCGTTTTTGAGAAAATTGGATTCGATTTTCTAGCTGAACCGTAGGTCTCACAGAAAGTTTTATGGGACAAAAAAGGAAAAGAATTAAATTCTCTACATTTTCATCTCAGTAATAAACCTCTAAAACCTACGGGGACAAAGTTAGAGGGCGCCAAAGTCACTCAAATGCAGTTTTTTCCTTTTTCCGGGTGAAACCATTTTATTACTGTCGCAAAGTTTTCAAAATTATTAAAGATCATAAAAAACCGTTTGAGTGACTTTGTCGCCCTCTAAATTTGTTCCAGTAGGTTTTAGAGGTTTGCTATTTAGAGATGAAAATGTAGAGAACTTGATTCTCTTCATTTTTTGTTCCATAAAATTTTCTGTGGGACTTATGATTCAGCCAGAAAATTGAATCCAAATTTTTTTTTGAGTTTCTCAAAAACGGTGGAGTGGGGGGATACGAATTTTGGAATTTAAGCTTTTCCAGTGAAACACTTAGGACTGGCAAAGTATGAGAGAAGGGGTAATTTGACGGGAGTCTAGACCTTTTTTGATGCCAGATTGACTGTACAATAGTTGCATCATATCTTATGACATTACAACTAATAATAATCTACTCGACGGAAAGTAAAAATATTTTTATTTTTTTATAAATGCGCGTTTTCTAGCTTTTTTCTGTAACGTGCTGGCTTATTTTTTTGACTAATGTCCCGTCTACACATAATTTTTTACCTGTCAGTTAAACCAGAAGACCGGCAAGACATATAGCAAACGGACATCAGTTTTTTCGACGGTCTTCTGGTCATTTATTTTGACTGAACATCAGCTATAATATTTAAAAAAAAGTTACGTGTAGACTATAGGCTTTAAACATTTGACATCAGCTATTTTTTTGGTTACTAAATATGATGAAATAAAATAAATAAGGGTATTTAAATATTATATAAATATGTTATTAAATTGACAATGAATTTGCATTTTTATATTAGTTTGATCTGATGAAAAAAACTACTTTTTTAGTAAAACTGGAAGAACAAAAATAGTTGTTTCAGACATGTTTTCTAATAACAACGATTATATTTCCAATAATACTTGAGTAAAAGACGTTAAAAGAATTAAATATCAAAATTTATATTCCTTATAAAAACAATTTTTTGGTCCTTGTTTGCTTATTTCGTTATTTTTATTTGCTTGTGGGTAATAAACTAACAAAATTCATTGAAGGCGCTACACTAACAATCGCAAAAATTAGGTATGTAAAAAGAATCTACTTATTCGTATTAATAATTTTCTATTATTAATATACCGGGTGGCCCATTTTTGCAAGGAAGTCCAATATCGTCGTTGTTGATAAAGATCTGGAAAAAAGTTTTATACACATAAATGTTGCATGGTTTATAAAGGAGCATATCCTAAAATTATTTTGTTGTATACAGGGTGTACCATAAAAAAGTAATGATGAAGTTGTAAGTTTATATAAATTGCAACCCTCATTTTTCTGTACAGAATTGGATTCACCATAAAACTCTACATATAGTACCTACTATTTTTATTTCAAGGACTATACAACAAAATATTTTTAGGATATAAACCATATGCAATATTTAGATTAAACTTTTTTTCATATCTTTGTCAACAACCACGATATTGGACTTTCTCGCACTAAATGGTTCACCCTGTATTTTCACCGGATTAAATGTAACTGGTAAAGTTTTTCATGCACACATTCTGTTACCTAATATTTAAATAAATAATGAATCTATTAAAATCATGTAAACTCATAATTCGATATCATTTTTTTATTCATTATTTATTTTAGTCATATATGCAGTGTGGACCAGTTTCTTGTAACAGAACGTTAAAAATGCCATAGAAAATATACATTTTCTTTGTAGCAAGAAGAAAATGTCATGTTAATATTAGTCCATACGGGTTTATGTTAAAAATACTGGTAGATCTTTGTACCAAATTTTGTTAAAATATCTTTATTTTGGGATAATTATTTTCTTCCTAAAATATGTTTTATTGATCACTGAAGTCCTACTAAAAGTACTGGAACACTCTGTATATATGTGTGATCCCTTTAATTCAAATTCTCCTATAAATTGTATTAATATTTTTAGACTTAAAAATTCATTATCTAAAATAAACATATGTACCTCAAATTAAAAATTCACTCAAAAAATACTAATATTTCGTGTATTTTTAATCTGAGACAAAGAAAAATGACAAAAGGAGGACATTATATATTTATAACAAACGCCTTTATAGCATTAATGCAAAAAAACTGAATTATTAACATACTATAACTTGTTAGAGCTGCAAGTGACAATGAATGAGTATTACTTAAAAACAAAAACGATATAAAAAATAAATCTATACAATCTCTAAGTATTAAGTCGCTATAGTGTGCCATTTGTAACTTTTATATAATATAAAAAGTAAGTATGTGTAGCTTCTACCAAAAAACGCGAAAAAAAACACTGTGTTTTAACTCTTAAGGATACGACGATTATAGTGTTGTTTTCTAAAATTTCACAATGTCGGTCGTACAGATAATTCGCAATATATAACTAACATTTAACAGTGTAGAGGTCTGTTACTTGCCTAACAAACTATTGCCACAGATTATACAGATTATAATCTTTGTTTTTTCTTTATTATTTTTCGTGGTTCCAATTTTCGGAATCGGGCACTAGTCAGGTGACTAGTTTGCGCACATAGCACGCCCACTTATGGCCTCTAAAATTGTGCACAGCGCCTGACCGGCACAGTTATTAGAGAGATATCGGAAAACCGAATAGCGTCATCCAGTATTTACGCGTACCTTATCATGGTTACGATATGCGCGAGTCAACGCAACACCCGCTAATAACGTTACCGCCTGACGTAATTTGCGGATCAATTACACCAAGCGCTCTTTCTAAATAACCTCTGATAACGTTTAAAAATTGCTTAAATGGGCATGTGCGGGTATTTGACAACCTGAGCCGGCCGGCGAGATCTTTTATTTTAGGTTATGTTTGAATTGTTTTGAATTATTGCTTTAGTTTTATTAGGTAATTTGATATTTAAGTAGCTCGGATTAGTTTTAATTAAGTAAATATGGCCCAAAATATGGATTCCACCTCTTCCAATACTAAAGAACCTATAAAGAGTCTTAGGTTTACAGCAGATGACGACTTAGCCTTTCTAAGAGAATTTGTTGCTTGTTGCCCTAAACCCATTGGCAGACGTTGAACAATAAAGCACTGGAAATAAGCACTTTAGCCCTTTAGTTTTAAAATACCTAGTAAACAAAACAATTTCAAAGTTTTAAATTCAAAGTTAGGTTAAGTTTAAATAACGGACGCGACGCGATCAGAATTCTTTCCGATCCGATAACTATAAATGAAGAGAGTTAATACCACCTCACGTAAAGGAAATAACACCTGGCCTTATTAACGTCCATGCACGCTATTCGGTTTAGCGATATCTCTCTATTACGCTGTTTATTGTTATTTTACGCGAGTTTATTTTTGCGCACAGGAAATTTGACTCGTTTGCACATCGTCCTAAAAAACAATTTTAGTGCCACGAATTAGGGACAAGATTTTTATCTGTATACTTATAGGATACCTAATCTGTGCTATTGCTCTTTTCACGTTAATTTTTCTGGTTTCGACATTTGACATCGTAAATGGCAAGGATTTGGTTAAAACTGAAAATCCCTAGGCAGTGTAGCACAAATTAAATAAAGTCTCTATAGTAGATGCTGAATTGGGTTGGTTATATTAAAAATATTTTTATTTTTTGGATATATTAATATTTTATTATTGAATTTCGTTTAAAAAAAAAACTTATTTTACCTTTGTTTATCTCTCTACTTTTTAGTAAATTCATTATAATTAAAGAACAAGAGAAATATCAATTATTCAGATAATTGAAATTGTATTTACCAGTAAATAATTTGATTTTCGTCTGACTCAGTTTTTACTCATCCCACTTATTAAAAAAATACAAATTGTGATTGTATTGACCGATTTTGAGTTCCGCCATATTGGGAAAAGTAACATAAAGAGACGAACTATATGCATTTAACACAATAACATACTATATGATTACAAAATTTTATGATCGCAAGCATTCTTTTAGAATTTTTTTAAGTATTTTGAAGTCTGCTTATGATTATAAAAGTTTTATATCTGATCTCTACACTGTTAGATTTTTCTTAATGTTTCTCCAATATTTCTAATCCATTCTAATACACTATTTTCCAACAACTACAACAAAAAAAGACCTTTTATATACGTACCATATGAACAAGATGTATTATCTAATAAATTTAATATCTCATGGCTGAATAAGTTTAAAATTTATGGAGCATTTTATTCAGTAAATTGTTTGTTAATTATTTAATTAATAAAAAATTACCGATTTATTATAGCCACAGCCTATTCATTTGATAGCCTAGCCTTAACTAGCGGAATCCACTGGTTGTCTAATAAATAGGCTGTAATATAGCTAAACACGATACACAACTAAAACTGGCCCAAAAAAACTATGTTTTTTATCACTTCCACTAACTTTTTTTCTACATTACTGTAAGAATCGTGTTATATAAGGAATTGTAAGATATGTATAGCTAGAAGAATCATTTTGAGGTGATTATCATTCTAAAAATGGGTATACTGAATTAAAATTTTTTGGATACACACAAGGGCACCTCAAAACGATTCTTGTTTATATATTAAAATCGTTATAAAAACATTATTACATTGTGATATTGTATATAGAATTATAAATAATAAATTACGATGGTTGTTAGGTTTTTATTTGTATAAAGAAGGTATAATAGAGAATGAAATTATTTATTAGCAATATTGACTGTGAAAATTAAAAAAAAATATTTGATTATTTTTATTAATTCACTTTAAATCGTATTTTTTTAGTTCGTTAATTAAGGTAAAAGTTTTCGATGTTTTCTTGAAGTTTGTCAGGAAAATAAAAATCACCAGAAATGTTTTCTTAGTGTTATTGTTAATTAAATTTTATAAAGTTATCATTATTTAGAAATAGCGTCTTTTATTTATACACCTCCAACAAGAACAGTTTTCGTTTCATTAAGTTCCGCCTACACGACATGTACAGGGTCCGGCAGTAGTGCGTCGGGCATCTGTAGCTTCTAGAATAAAAAACTTGAGAATTTTATTTAAGTACAAACTTAAAGTATGTACCAGGATGTATATCAGGACAATATTTTAACTTCTATAGGGTGGCTCAAAAAAGTGTGAGTGGACCTGGATAATTTTTTTAAATGGAACACCCTGTATATTATTGCATTTTTGGCTTCCTTTCAGATCACTTTACATAACCCTAAGATATGAATAAATATATTTCGATAATTTCAGAGATATTAAAAAATAAACGAAAAAATATGTATTTTTCAGCCCTTCTTAAAAAAAGTATTAAAAATACAAGAACTGTTCTGAAACCAAAAATATATTAGGTATCTACTTTAGATGGTCTGTACTTACTTTGCTATAAATATGAAAATCGTAAATCATACAGGATGTTCAAAATTCTACGCCAAACTTTCTAAAATATAAAATAATTTTTCTTCGTTTCTTTAAATGGAACACCCTGTATATTATTTTTTCAATAGACGGAGAATTAAAAAATGAACATTTTTTGTATTTAGAGTATTTCAAAATTTTTAACGGTTTCGCAAATATTTGCGATTTTATATTTCATATGGCATTTTCCACAGTAAATTTTTATCAAAGCCACCCAATGAGTTTTCTCTCGTATTTTACCATTAAAAGCGCCATATGAAATAATACTGCGTGTATCTGCGAAACCGTTAAAAATTTTGAAATACTCTAAATACAAAAAATGTTCATTTTTTAATTCTCTATCTAATAAAAAAATAATATAAACGGTGTTCCATTTAAAAATACAAAGAAAAAATATTCTATGTTTTAGAAAGTTTGGCGTAGAATATTGAACATCCTGTATGATTTACGATTACCATATTTACAGCAAAGTAAGAGCGGACCATCTAAAGTAAATACCTAATATAGTTTTGATTTCAGAACAGTTCTTGTATTTTTAATAATATTTTTAAGAAGGGCTGAAAAATACATATTTTTGATTTATTTATTAATATATCTGAAACTATCGAAACATATTTACTCATATCTTAGGGTTATGTAAAGCGATCTGAAAGGAAGCCAAAAATGCAATAATATACAGGGTGTTCCATTTAAAAAAAATCATCCAGGTCCACTCACACTTTTTTGAGCCACCCTATAGAAATTAAAATATTTTCCTGAAATACATCCTGGTACATACTTTAGGTGTGCACTTAAATAAAATTCTCAAGTTTTTTATTCTAGGAGCTACAGATGCCCGACGCACTATTGCCGGACCCTGTAGAATGTAGAATGAGATCTATTGTGTCCCCCTTTCTTGAGTTATAACGCATCATACAGTCTATAATTCATCATACATGGAGATATTCCTGTTTTGAAGGGACAGGATATTCCCCATCCTCCTCTGATAACAGACGCGTTCTTCCTCCGAGGAGTATATAGTTCCTCCCTACGAGGATATATGCTTTTGGGGTGTACCCGTATCCGCATCCTCTGTGAGAGAACCTAATTCTGTTCAAGTAGTAAAACAGACCGTTTTTTAGTCTACACACAAGGGTTTAGTTGATATATTTTAACTAAATAGGTAAGACTGACAGGTAAACATTATGTGTAGATGATTGGGCATTAGATACAGATACGACGGCGGTCTTTTCAACATAAAAAGTCTCAGACCAAAAACATGTACAAAATTCATCAAAGAACTTCAATACGCTGATGACTGCGCTCTAGTTGCAAAAACGTTACAGCAATTACAAGAAATGTTGAACACATGCTTTGGGTCTTAATCTGAACATCGATAAAACTAAAATCATGTGCACTCCCCTGGAAGATCACAACAAACAACAACGCTATAAAAAACGCGGGATTCGGCTTTTTGATTTCGGATAAGGCCAATATCGACTCTGAAATTCAGCACAGGATTAGCAGCGCCTCAAAAGCATTCTGGAAATTAAAAAACAGAGTATTCTACAATCATGACTTGAGTACAAAAACGAAACTTGCAGTGTACCAAGCAATAATAATCCCCACCATGTTATATGGAAGCGAAACCTGTGTGCCGTACCGCCGACACATGAACGCCTGATGAACGCGTTAAACAAGCTGCAACAGAGACACCTTATACACATAATTCACAATTCTTAAGAATCATATGGTTCCACCATGTCTCAAACATATCGGTCCTTGGAAAAGCTAGCTGCAAGAGCGTTGAAGTCATGATTACAAAATCCCGCTTAAGATGGGCTTGCCACGTGTGCAGAATGCAAGAAAACCGCCCACCAAAATCTCTGCTTTACGGTGAGCTTGTAGACGGTAAGAGGAAACCGGGTGGACAACACACGGAAACCGGGTGGACAACTCTATTTTCCACGAAAACTTAAAGGGGATAAACATGCAGAATGAATGGGAAGAAGCAGCGCACAATAGAACCCAATGGAGAACAGTTCTGCTGTCGTGTTACTAGAGTTTACAACGACAACCAAAAAGTAAAGAGGCAACAAAGCAATGAGATAACATCACGTATCGGGCTTTTCAGTTACAGAAAAACGCCTTACATAAACATCTTCTGATGCGTGTCAAATACTCGTCAGCAAGTAATGGTACTATACAGGGTGGCGCACCTCATTCGCCTCGGTTGATTATAAGTAAAGAGGCAACAAAGCAATGAGATAACATCACGTATCGGGCTTTTCAGTTACAGAAAAACGCCTTACATAAACATCTTCTGATGCGTGTCAAATACTCGTCAGCAAGTAATGGCACTATACAGGGTGGCGCACCTCATTCGCCTCGGTTGATTATAAGTAAAGAGGCAACAAAGCAATGAGATAACATCACGTATCGGGCTTTTCAGTTACAGAAAAACGCCTTACATAAACATCTACTGATGCGTGTCAAATACTCGTTAGCAAGTAATGGTACTATACAGGGTGGCGCACCTCATTCGCCTCGGTTGATTATAAGTAAAGAGGCAACAAAGCAATGAGATAACATCACGTATCGAGCTTTTCAGTTACAGAAAAACGCCTTACATAAACATCTTCTGATGCGTGTCAAATACTCGTCAGCAAGTAATGGCACTATACAGGGTGGCGCACCTCATTCGCCTCGGTTGATTATAAGTAAACAGGCAACAAAGCAATGAGATAACATCACGTATCGGGCTTTTTTCAGTTACAGAAAAATACGCCTTTACATAAACATCTTCTGATTGTCAAATACTCGTCAGCAAGTAATGGCACTATACAGGGTGGCGCACCTCATTCGCCTCGGTTGATTATAAGTAAAGAGGCCAAAGCAATGAGATAACATCACGTATCGGGCTTTTCAGTTACAGAAAACGCCTTACATAAACATCTTCTGATGCGTGTCAAATACTCGTCAGCAAGTAATGGCACTATACAGGGTGGCGCACCTCATTCGCCTCGGTTGATTATAAGTAAAGAGGCAACAAAGCAATGAGATAACATCACGTATCGGGCTTTTCAGTTACAGAAAAACGCCTTACATAAACATCTTCTGATGCGTGTCAAATACTCGTCAGCAAGTAATGGTACTATACAGGGTGGCGCACCTCATTCGCCTCGGTTGATTATAAGTAAAGAGGCAACAAAGCAATGAGATAACATCACGTATCGGGCTTTTCAGTTACAGAAAAACGCCTTACATAAACATCTTCTGATGCGTGTCAAATACTCGTCAGCAAGTATACTATACAGGGTGGCGCACCTCATTCGCCTCGGTTGATTATAAGTAAAGAGGCAACAAAGCAATGAGATAACATCACGTATCGAGCTTTTCAGTTACAGAAAAACGCCTTACATAAACATCTTCTGATGCGTGTCAAATACTCGTCAGCAAGTAATGGCACTATACAGGGTGGCGCACCTCATTCGCCTCGGTTGATTATAAGTAAAGAGGCCAAAGCAATGAGATAACATCACGTATCGGGCTTTTCAGTTACAGAAAAACGCCTTACATAAACATCTTCTGATGCGTGTCAAATACTCGTCAGCAAGTAATGGCACTATACAGGGTGGCGCACCTCATTCGCCTCGGTTGATTATAAGTAAAGAGGCAACAAAGCAATGAGATAACATCACGTATCGGGCTTTTCAGTTACAGAAAAACGCCTCACATAAACATCTTCTGATGCGTGTCAAATACTCGTCAGCAAGTAATGGCACTATACAGGGTGGCGCACCTCATTCGCCTCGGTTGATTATAAGTAAAGAGGCCAAAGCAATGAGATAACATCACGTATCGGGCTTTTCAGTTACAGAAAAACGCCTTACATAAACATCTTCTGATGCGTGTCAAATACTCGTCAGCAAGTAATGGCACTATACAGGGTGGCGCACCTCATTCGCCTCGGTTGATTATACCCATAAAATATAAAATATTTTATGGGTATATGTGGGAAGGTAATGTGCACAATTTAAAGTAATTTTGAAATGTACAGGGTGTTTCAGAACTAAGATCCATACCAAAGTTTTTCTTATGGAACACTCGGTATTTTATGTCATTTTTGGATTCTTGGTCCCAAAAAAAGGTATTTACTGTAAGGGTTAAATATGTTTAAAATCTTTGGTTTTTGAGATATTGAAAGATATTTAAATTTGCATGCTATAATAGAATAGATTATTAACACCCTGTACATTACTTTTCAGAATTAGTTCTTGTGCTGAGTTTAAAGGTAGAGAAATAAACTTTAAAGAAAAATGTTATTCCTTTTTAAATGTATACAGGGGTATCAAAAATGGCTGGTCGATTTTAAATATTTATTTTACATAAAAACTTCGTTATTTCAAAGGCAACACTATGTATTTTTTTAAATAAGTCGAAGCAGATTTAAATGCTCTTTCAAACTATATTGGGGTTTCCTATACCTATCTGGCTCAGATTTTGAATAAAAAGCGATTTTTCAATAAAATTGTAATCAAGACGGCTAGTGTTGTCATGGCAAGTTTCTAGTAACAGTTAGTAGCTATTTTCAAAATCGAAATTAGTTTATGGACTTATTTAAATTTATACCAGTTTACTTTTATTTAATTTACCTACAATAGTTTAATAAATAATATTTATTAAATATGTGTTTAATATCCTTGAGGCCAAGAAGCAATTTTCCTCACAAAATAATATCACTAATAACATATCTATTCGTTCCGCCAGCAGATACTGCTTTATTTTTCTTGATAAAATAATGAATACTTACTTATTAAACTATTGTAGGTAAATTTAAGTAAACTGTTATAAATGATAAATAATAATGTCCATAAACTAATGTTTAATAAATAATATTTTGTTAATAATGTTTAATAAATAATTAATGTTTAATAAATAATATTTATTAAATATGTGTTTATTATCCTTGAGGCCAAGAAGCAATTTTCCTCACAAAATAATATCACTAATAACATATCTATTCGTTCCGCCAGCAGATACTGCTTTATTTTTCTTGATAAAATAATGAATACTTACTTATTAAACTATTGTAGGTAAATTTAAGTAAACTGTTATATAAATGATAAATAATAATGTCCATAAACTAATGTCGACTTTGAAAATAGTTACTAACTGCCACTAGAAAATTGCCATGGCGACACCAGCCATCTTGATTACAATTTTATTTAAAAACCGCTTTTTATTCATAATCTGAGCTAGATAGGTATAGGAAACCCTAATATAGTTTGAAAGAGCATTTGAATCTGCTTCGATTTATTTAAAAAAATACAGCTGTTACATTTGAAATAACTAAGTTTTTATATAAAATATATCCTTAAAATAGATAAGCAACTTTTGATAACCCTGTATAAATTTAAGGAACCAATACCATTTTTCAGTAAAGTTTATTTCTCTACCTTTAAACTCAGCATAAGAATTAATTCTAAAAAGTAATGTACAGGGTGCTAATAGTCTCTTCTATTGTAGCATGCAAATTTAAATATCTTTAAATATCTCAAAAACTAAAAATTTTAAACATTTTTAACCCTTATAATAAATGCCTTTTTTTGGGCCCAAGAATCCAAAAATGAAATAAAATACCGGGTGTTCCATAAGAAAAAATATAACTTTGGTACGAATCTTAGTTCTGAAACACCCTGTATATTTCAAAATAATTTTAAATTGTGCACATTGTCTCCCCAAATATACCCCTAAAATATTTTGTTTCTACATCTTTCCGTTTTCGTATAATCAACCGAGGCGAATGAGGCGCGCCACCCTGTATATGTATGTGTAGACAGGGCTTAATAATTAAAACAAGGCATTTAATAAAAAAATAATTTATTTAGAATGACAACTCATTTTTTCTATCACCTATTGCTAATAGGAATGGTTTCGAACAGCTTCATAAGATCACTTTTCAGCTCCATTTGAGCCTGTTTGGCTTTAGCATCTTTCTCGAAATTCAAACACACAAACATGCTCTTGCTGGATGATTGTCTGGGTGTGGCTGATACAGACCGAAGCCTGTTCATTATGGGTGGCAGGATAAGCTTGGAAACTGTCCTTTGCTGCTGTTTAATCGGCCGTCGTGGTTGACTTTTCAATGGCGTGGCAGTAATAAAAGGCAGGGAAATTGACTCTAATGAAGTATTTACATCGAATCTATCAGTTGTTATGACTGACTGAGCATCTTGTTTACTTCTGTTCAAGTATGGACTTTTAATTGCTGATATTTTGAGGTACTGGTCAATATCCAAACTTTTTGGTTTATTTGCTAGCATTTGTCCCTTCTGATACAGCAAGTTCTGCATCTGTTGTTCGTTTTTAATTTTATTTAGATTTCTTAAGTATATCTTGCCGTACTTATTTTTTACATTATTTGTCTGAACTTCATCATCTGATGCTGAACTTTCTTCAGAATTTTCCAGTGAATTTGATGGAGTTTTATAACCCAAAATGCTATACAAAAAATACGGTATACAACTAGAGTTTAGACTGTGACAATACTATAAGTATACTTACATTAGATGTGGAAAAAATGTACGCCATTCTTCTATTTCTGCTTTATCGTAGGCTAAAGGTACATCAAAACCTTGAAAACACCTATCAATTTTTTCTAGTTCTGTTTGAACTTTCTTATTAACTTCACTATCATAATCATCGCTCCAACTTAGTGAACTACTTGAACTAACACCACTTAGTTTCAAGTCAAAGATATCTAAAGTCAATTTATATATAAACCCAATAAAACAATACTTATATTTCACTTGTTATTCACCTTCTAAATCACTATCAAAAGTAGACCTATCATCTATAAATTTGCTATTGGCAGAACAGTCCCCTTTAGACAGATTAAGGGGTACAAAATCATTGATATTTTCACCCAAAACTTTATCAAGGCAATTTATTTGCCTCTCAACATGTAAGTTGACAAAAACATTAGATTGATCGTTCGGTGGAAGTGTTGTTATGCTCCTATTTCGCTTTTTAGGACTCATGACTGTTATGTATGCTTATTCATAATGACAAAATTTTGTATCTAAAATAAAGTTCCGTTAAATCATTACCTTTAAAATAGTGTGGAGATTTATTAAAATCTTACATTTTATTGGAAATTTGAAAACATTGCCTTCTGTAAGTTGAATTTATAATAAGTTTTCGAAAATTTGATTTCTTTTGTATGTAACGCATATGTAACGTCAAAAGTGTAAACAAAAATTCTAACCACAATTTATCTTCTTCTTTACAAATTAATGGCGTCAAACATGTTTGAATTTCCTTACCACAGAAGATTTTTGTTACTTATTTTAAGTTTCTGATATTGGCTAATCTCCAATATGACATCACTAAATTGAAACTGTCAACCGCGTTGGCTCTTTTCATAATTTTTAGTTAAAATTAACAAAATAAAACGTTAAATTATTATTTTAGATAACAATTAGGCTCTAGTAGGCAATTTTTAATGTAAGTAGTTAAAATTTTATTCTTATTTAATTATAATTTACGAAATAATCCTAAAATATGTTTGAAATTAACAATTCTAAAGTGACGTTCTTCATTGTCAAGTTAAATCAGAATTCTAAATTTTAATAATATACTGGCCTAATGAATGAGTTGGCTGAGAAAAACTTCTGATTCTCATATTTAGAAAATCACGAGTCATTCTAATTTATCTTTGAATTTTTGCTGATTACCGTGACTAGATATAATTAGTGTTTTTTGTGCCAAGGATAACTGATTTCTCTTGTTCCAGAAAAGATGTTTATTTGGGACTGGTTTACAGGCGTTTTAGGATATTTAGGTAAGATTTTTAACTTCTGTTCTTCTATTCTATTATATTGTACGTAAAACAATAAGTGTTTATATATATTTGAATAAGTTCCAAATTCATCTAAGACATCTCTGCATTGTTAGGTTTGTTCAAAAGTAAAGGCAAATACGTTTTTCTCGGATTATCACATTCTGGAAAAGCCACTTTAATAAGACAGTTGTTAGATGAGAAAGAAATTGATTTTATACCTTATTCATCTGATCATGAAATAGATGGTAAGTGTTGTTTACTAACAACATGCATGTTGTTTGTGTAGGTTTGTGGAAGAAATCTGGCAAGCTCCTGTTCTTGGGCTTGGACAATGCAGGCAAAACCACTTTATTGCATATGCTGAAGGATGATCGACTTGCTGTACATCTTCCCACACTTCATCCCAGTAAGATTAATATTTCTTCAGCCACAATTAATATTTTAACAAATCTATCGCTAAATACCTACAATATCTTCTTTCTTAAAAATTAAACCAAAAGATATTAAGATAATTATAAATATTCTTGTATTTTGCTCATTTAAGAAGGAGATATTGGTAATCATTCTGGCTTTTAACATAAACCAACAATTTCAGCATCCGAAGAACTCTCAATTGGCAACATGAGGTTTACCACATTTGATTTAGGTGGACACGTTCAAGGTAAAGACTGTTTTAGAAAAAAATATATACTAAAAAATACATTTTTATCAATAAGACTTGTTAAAATTTACTCAATTTTCTTTCTTAGCAAGAAGAGTGTGGAAAGATTACTTCCCAGCTGTTGATGCCATAGTATTCCTAGTTGATGCAAGCGATAGAATGAGGTTCGACGAGAGTAGACAAGAACTAATATCCTTGCTGACAGATGAAAGTTTGGCAAACTGCCCTGTATTGATTTTGGGTAACAAGATTGATTTGCCAGTTGCAGCTTCTGAAGACGAACTCAGAAATGTATTTGCATTGTTTGGCCAAACAACAGGAAAGGTTAATAACATTATTTAATTTTTAGATTTAAAATGTTTACATAATCTGAAGGTATGATTATACCATTGCGAATTTTAAGTATCTAAAACCACTATATTTTATAATAAATTCATATTGGTATATAGAAAAACAGGGGCAGACAAAAAAATTCAATTTTTTCAATAGAAAATATTGATTTTATTAATTGAACCACATATATTTCTACCATATTCTATATTCACATAAGTAATACTCCTATGAAGCTAGTGTTTAATATAATACATAACAAAATTTGTATGCCAAGACTGTGAAGTAGTTGTAAACTGTAATCACAAATGGAAGAGCAAGGGAGATAGATAGGTATACTGTCTGTTCAAAAATCGTTCAATGTTACATCATCGTTATTCCTCAAATATGCGTTTTAGGGTATGTCTGAGATCAGTTCATATTATTTAGAAAATTTTAAATACTTTCTGAAATTATTTTGTTTTATTTTTTATTAAGCTCATGTAGGTATGTTAGACCTTTATTCATTTTGATTTTCTTTCAATATATAATTTTAGGCCCATATACCAGTTTTTACAAGGAAAATGGCACCTTTTAAAAATAAACTTATAAAAAAACTTCAGATTCTACAGGGTTGTTCACCACATACGACACGGAGTATTGTAGCTAAACGATTAGATGTTTACAAATTATAAGTTTTGGGTTTGTTCAAGGACTATTAGAGCTACAATTTAAAAATATTTTTACAAAATACAGAGTGTCCCAAATAAAATACGAAATATTATTGATCAGCTATTGTGTTGCAATAATAAAAATAATACTACCTCATACAGAGTGTCTAGAAATTTATTTTAAATAATTTCTAGATTTAAACGGCAATAACTTGTTTAATTTAAATGGAACACCCTGTATATTTTAGGGGAATCAGAAATCAGATGCACAATTTAATTGGCTATCAAATTGTATTATCAGAGTACCTAAACCGCCGAGTAGCGACAGTCCCGTTTTCAATTTTCTTTGCGGCTGCGCGAAATAAGTAGGTTGTCTGTCATACGAAGAAGCGAAGTTGCCACTGTTGCCATTTATCAAATATCTCTATATACTTTATTTCAAGTATACCTCAGGCAACGAATCGTTTTTTTAATATTTATTAGCAGTAAGATATTTTATACATTCAAATTTAGAAATAAGGATAGAACAAAACAAAAAAGATATGTATAAAACTTTATAATTAATTCCACTTCAAATTGTGAGCAGTGTATACCATGTTTATAGGACCACTTCATAAGTTGAGCAGTTAAATACGTAGTCTATCTGTCAAACACGTCAAAAGAGAGAGAAAGAAAATTTGGTCCCACCACATCAAAAGAGCCGACGGTTTCTGTCGCTACTCGGCGATCTACGTACTCTGGTATTATACCATTTTTTACCTATCCCTGCAAGTTTTCGTAGAAAATGCATTTTCTTATAATTTAGACCTCATTTATACCCATGGAATATTGACATTTTAGATTGTTTTTAAAGCACAACAAATGTACAAAATATACAGGTGCTGAAAACGATAATATTACTAGCCTATTTGTATACAAAAAGAAAACTTTTTAAATATTTATAAAAAAAAGTATACCATTAATTAAATATACCGCCATTACTTCCGCCCAAATATTAATTAATTACATACTTAATTGTGTTAGTTAATATATTATTCTAAATAAATGTGGATTTGAATTAGATTGTTCTTATAAATAAACATTCGTCAAAAAATTAAATTAAATTTTTATGGTGTTACTTTTTACCACACTGTCAAATACACATCTAGATTCAGTTTTTTAGTATTTGGAGCAATTATTATTAATCAATGCAAACAGTCAATTAATGTAGTTTGAATACTGAAATCATATTAATTGGTCCTCTTTAGCAAATATTTAAACAGTTTTTCTTTTTTAATGAAATAAACGAACTATATCGACAATATTAGTATCTGTACTCTTTAAAAATTTGTTACATCTTTAAAAATAATCGTCGTTTAACCGTCGTAACGTTTCCAGAAGTTGCTAAAATCTTAATTATTTTATACAAAATTACTATTTTTGGTACCTTCAAATATTTGTAGACAAAATGTGACATCGAATTTGACAATGACACAATCACATTTTTGCTGGTATTTTAATTGTAGCTTTCTCTGGGCCGTATTATAAATTTTACTAATTTAAAGGTAGATTTTTGCAAATAACTTTTAAATGAAACAAAATTCTAGACAAAAGTACAACTTTTGCATAAATTTATCTGGGGAGATAATATTTGACATTTTCAAAATTTACATGGGATTTCTTATCGGAACACAGGACGTTCTGATGCACCACACAGTATAATACTTGATTGGTGGATTTGAATGCCCTATCTACCCTTATTTATAGCATTATGCATATTAGTGTTGTGACTGTCACACTCTTTTAGGATACTTTAAATCTTTACTAGCCTTATATGAGTAAACTAGCAGTATTCATTTTTTTAGGGTAAAGTACCAAGGTCCGATTTACCCGGTCGTCCCCTAGAATTGTTCATGTGCTCCATCCTCCAGAGACAGGGATACGGAGAAGGTTTTCGCTGGTTGGCGCAGTACATTGACTGATTCCGTATTTCACTTTTTGTTTATATTTTTAAAAGTATCTTTGGTTAAGGACGAACGAGGTTAGGTAAAAAAAAAGTCAACAACAAATTGAAGGAACATTATAGGTAATCAATAATAATTTAGTTTTGGGTCTGACCCTATAAAGAGTGGGAGATTATTTTTTTATTGAGTTGTTATTACCATAATATAAATCTTATAAATATTTTTTATTTATATATATTTTTTTTTGTTCTGTAAATTGTATTTCTTTATCTATAACGTTTCCCGAATGCCAATTGAGTAATATACAAGGGGGGTAAAAAAATCAACATATTAAGTATTTTAGTTAAAATTTTCTCTTTATTGAGTTTAATTAATAATTATTGTTCCCTGGGTCAAAGTCAGTCAGTGTTGATATTAATTTTCGAACACAACAAAAATTATACAGACAGTTACTTTTTTGTTAAATAATAAAATGCTTTGTATAAAATGTTTTTTGTTTTATTTATACAGGGTGAGTCATAAACAAGTGCAAATATTTTCAGGATTGGTAGATCTCGATAAAAGAAACATCTTTTCTCTTTGCCGTTTTTCAAATAAGTCCAAATTAACTGAGTTATTTTTTTACTTTGAAAATTAAAAAAAAATGTGTTTTTGCTAAAATTTTGAAAACCATTGGATCTTTTCTGGATTTTCTTTTTAGTAAGTTTAATATATAACTGTTGCCGTATTATAAAGATATGATTTTTAACTGAAAATTACCTGTCTAATTTTTTTCAAAAATTTTAGAACTTTTTATTTTCAGTTAAAAGAAAAGCAAAGAAAAACTCATAGATGTTCTTTTGGGGTCAAAATATACTACCCCTAAAAATATTTGCACTTATTTAAGACTCACTCTGTATAGAAATATACCCCTTAGAATTTAAAATATTTGTTTTTAATGAAAAAACACTATTTTAATTGAATATGAGAACAGGTATTTTCAATGTTAAGTTTTGTGTTTATTTAGAGAAAATATCAGGAAATTCAGCTAAAGTCTGTCATACGCAACCATACAATCGAAAAAAAAACGGTGTTAGAAGCCGTTTTTTTTTTCAATCATACGCTATACTACTATACGATAAAAAAAACGGTGGCACAGATGGCCGAGGAATAACAACCAGTGATAATTTTGGCGAGGTCAAGCTCTAGACGTTGTTTACTTGGCCCGTATTCTTCTTTATTTTTTAGTGGCGCTTAGTGCCAGTTGGCTTTAAGAAAGTCGTAATTTATCTTTATATTGAGTGAAATTGATTTTTTTTAAACAGTGCAGTTAAAAATTCGAAAAAAAAATTTTTAGGAATAGATTTGTGTGTCGGGAAACATTCTATCCCTTTTTAATCTTTCTATAATTAGTGTTAATTTTTGACAAGTTTTATGTGTCAATTTTAAGTTAATGATGTCTAGAGGTTGACCTCACCAAAATTATCATCGATTGACATTTTCCAGCCGTCTTTGACGCAGGTTTCTTTTTTTTTCAGTCGTGCAGTTAGTTCAGTCATTGGATATCAAAAAAGGGGCCTGCTAGGAAAAAAGTCCGGAAATTTTGAAACTTTGCAGGTTTATAGGTTTTGGGGTCCCTAACTAAAATCCATACTTACTTTACTTTACTTTTTCGTGTCCGGAACATACTATATTTTCTCGGCCCAATATTGAGCCACGTCCAATGCTTCGGGTTTGCTTTGCCATAAATCGTCATTTGCCATAAAATCCATAAAATGTACACTTGCAGACTTGCCGCTGGCGATGGCGCCCAAAATTGGTATTTTATAAATATCTCGAAAACTATGCGTTTTTCGCAAAAATTTGAAGAGAGCAAAATTAAAGAGAATAAAATTTCCTATAAAAAAGGTTATATGAAAATGTTCGCTAAAGTCAACCGTTTAGGCACAAAATCCCTGCATATTTTACAATTTTGCGTAAAGTATGATATACATAATTTTTCTTTTAAAATATTGATTTTCCGAAATCAAATGTCGATTAGTGTTCACTAAAACTAGTTTTAGTTTAGTTTCTTCAATTTTGTCATGAAACAGTGGCGTATCATTAATTTATGAATTAATTGTCGTGCTGAACAGCATTCATTGCGAACTTACCACCAGGTTCAGCATATTGGTCTGGTTGTACCAAAGATGCCGAAGAATGGGGTTGGAAGAAAACAAAAACAGGCATTACTCCAGTCACAACGTTGAAAGATCCAGCTCCAAAATCTCTATTGGCAATTTTATCCTGTAAATGCAAAACCAACAACTGTGGCAAAGCCTACGGATGCAGCAAAGCAGGATTAAAATGTTCAATGATTTATGCATACTGCAATGAGAAATCATGTGACAACGTCACTGAAGTGTCACTCGACGAATCCAATGAAGAGGAGTTGGACTTGCCTGTAGGTATCCCTCTGGCGGCTGAAGATGAAGAGTTGGACGTATTGAGAGACCACCCTGATGAGCCCAGCACAGCAGACACGATCGACTTTGACATCAATGAGCCCAACTTTACCTCTTGGGTGGTGTGGAAACAAATACACATTTTCATTAATTATTCATAAATTAATGACCGAATTAATGATACGCCACTGTTTCATGACAAAATTGAAAAAACTAATTTTTTTTTTAATTTTACTCTCTTCAAATTTTCGCGAAAAACGCATAGTTTTCGAGATATTCACAAAATACCAATTTTGGGCGCCATCGGCAAGATGGCGACGCCGGCGGCTAGTCTACAAATGTGCATTTTATGGATTTTAGTTAGGGACCCCAAAACCTATAAACCTGCAAAGTTGCCAAACTTTCGGACTTTTTCCAAGCAAAAATCCCCAATGACTGAACTAAAAGTATCGTAGTGAGCCAAGGATGATTTTGACAGAAAATATCCAATAAATGACAGAAAACAATTTACCTGTGAATTTAAATAACAGACAACAATGGTCACTCTCAAGTATCCTTGCTTTGGACAATCTTTATTATAAATTAAGACCATATAATTCTTGATTTTCTTCTCTATTGAGAATATTGACATAAGCACAGTATGATCGAAAAGAAAAACGGCGCACAGTGTCGTCGATTCTAAAAAAAAAGAAAAATCACTGTTCCAGTGTTTCCACAGTCAGTACCAGTAGTAATATCGCAACTACTACTACCAACGCTACGACTGATCCGCGAGCAATGCCCATACCACTAAAGTCGCTACTAATGCCAAATTGTGCTATACTGCTAATGGCACTAATGCGATCGCTTTGTACACAACAATGCCATCGCGGTTTACACCTCGCATTAGTATACCACTGATTGGCAAATTAGAGGAAACCAAGGATGTTTTTCTCATTTTATCAGCAAAATCGCAAAAAGTCGCAGTATTTTATTTTACTGTATGAAAGCCCAATGTTTACTAATAAAATAAAAAAAAACTTATATAGACAATATGCTAAATTCTTCGAAATGCGCAATTAAATCTCTAAGTATAATAAAAATGTCACAAATTTAATCAAATTTTCTGAACGCCTAACTTTTAGTTGCAAAAAAGATCGTTAGTATAGAGAATATCAAAATAAATAATACGTTTATGTAGAATACATACCTGCAGCTTGCTGAGCCATTTTCAATCAAAACAATAATATAAACGTAAAAAGAGCACAAGAACAACAACAATTTATAATTTTAAACATAAAATTTAGCCATTTACCCCATTTACCTCTTATCTGTGAGAAGTAACAACTTTGACGTTTCGTTGAAACAAATGAATGCAACTAAACACACCCATAGCAAAGCCATTCATGGCAGAGATGATTTAACTTATCATTTATCTTTTTTTGGGAAATCTTAAACACATTTGCTTTTTCGAATTTCGATCACCCTTTTCATGCTAATACCCCACCGTGCGGCGTCTAGCTGCCTTGGAAGTCGATGGCATTTTGGCATTCACCATACAATTATACAATACATATAGAATAACAGTTATTTTTATTTCCAAGCCAACTTTGACGCCTTTTTCAATAGTACGTATTTCTCTTATAATACTGGATGTCGTCCTTGCCAAGAAATCAAATCATTTATATATTAATTCCAAGATATAAATGAATATTTATATAATACAAAAGACATTCAGAAAAAATAAAGTCATCCCATTGCCAGACTTGGCAAAAATATACTAATAATAGTAAACTGTGTTATCAGTCATGCCTCGAACACGCTACAGGCTACAACTAACACGGAACTGGATTTTTGTTGTTTATTTCTAACAGAAGCTAATTGTTTATAAATAAAGTGGATTAACAGAGATTGCACGGAAAATATTGGTTTAACTAGCGTAGAACAATAAACTATTAAGTTGTGTGTCAAATCTATACTAATATATAATATATAAAATCCTTAAGTGACTGACATACTGATTAATCACGATCCTGCTCAAACCACTCAACGTAAGAAGCTCAATTTTGGCATACAGGTTGATTCTAGGGTGTAGAGGTTCAATAAGAAGGGATTTTTCGAAATTCCAGTTTTCAAGAAGAATTTCCAAGAGGGTGAAACCACCCATCAAATATTACAATATTTTTTATTTAAAAAACGGTCAAGTTTCCGAAAAAACGCTTAAACACGTATATTTTATTTTGCTTTTTTACATATTTTAAAATTTTTTAAAAATGTATACAGGGTGTTTCGAAAAATGTGGTCATTGATTAATCACGATCCTGCTTAAAGCGCTTGACGTAAAAAGCGGATTTTTGTAAAACAGATTGACTTTAGGGTGTAGAAGTACGATTAGAAGGGATTTTTCGAAACTCGAATTCTAAGGGGGTCAAACTATCCCTCAAATATTAAAATATTTTTTATTTAAAAACCGGTGAGTTTTTCGGAAAAACTCTTATACACGTACATTTTATTTTGTTGTTTTACATATTTTAAGATTTTTTATAAATTTATACAGGGTGTTTCATAAAATATGACCATTAAGTAATCACGATTCTGCTTAAATTGCTTGACGTTTAAAGCTGATTTTTGGCAAACGGATTGACTGTGGGGTGTAGAGGTTCGATAAGGAGGAGTTTCTCGAATCTCAAACTCCAAGAGGGTGAAAACGCCCCTCAAATATTACGATATTTGTTATTTAAAAAACTGTTAGTCTTTCGGGAAAACGCTTGGACAAGCATAATTTATTTGGTTGTTTTACATATTTTTAATTTTTTTAAAAATCATACAGAATGTTCCAAAAAGTTGAGTAATTTCTTAAGCACGATTCTACTTAAACTGCTTGACGTAAAAAGCTTATTTTTGGCAAACGG